TATTTCATTATGAAAGTTTTGGATTGTGTGATTTTGTTTCTATCTTGGAATAAGAACATCAAATCTGCCGATTTATATGAACGATATAAAAAATACACTATTAACATAGTTGTATCTTAGGATAGCAACAGTCACAAGATCTGAAACATTGCTCATTAAGGTTTGTTTCTATGGAAAATTTCAAGTCGAAATTCGAAAATCAATTTTCTTTGTACGAATTGTTTTCAGCGTATTCAGAGTTCATTTGGGTCTATGTAATGCACATATTCTCGATTGAAAAACGATTTATCACTTGGATGACTTCTCTCGTAAGACGATATGTTCTTCTTAATATTTTGAAACATATTTCTTCACTATACTTTTACTTAATTTTTCAGAAATGCAATTAGGCAGTCATTTATATACTATAACGATGCGTTATTAATATACGATCTTTGATCAAATATTGACAAGTTCTGTCATGGTCTGTAGGAGAAGTAGATGGACTCGAATTTCTTCGCTTATACTTCGATACTCCTTTTAGATCGTGTTTCACAAAAATTGGATCAAAATAAACTAAATTTCTATTCCACAAAACAAACTAGATATTAGAAAATTGGTTAAATTGTGAAGTTCATATGGCGTATAGTATGAAAGAATTCCTAATATATTTCCATATGAAAAATAAACAGAACAAACATGCCTTGTTATTTACTCTATTCTCAAAATTCCAGTCATAAGCAGCAAAAATTCTCGTTGAGAATATTACAACAATATCTCATGTACTTTTGTGTAACTGTAACAAATGGATGTGTGACAGCACGCAGATCAATGATGTGTCAAAGTCGAATTAATCAACTGATGATCATCTCTTTTTTATATGAATGAAATCAATTGACAAGTTCTTGTCAAATGATTAGTTTCATTGACTAGCTTTTCTTTTTTATGTGAGTTGGACTATTGAATACCATCACGTTTAGTCCATCCAATTGATTTGTCAAAGCTCTGTTTTAAGTCACATAAGCTGAAATACAGCTGTCAGAAATATATTGCATAGAATAAAATCAGGTTTTCAAAAATCCAAACTCATATAAAAAGAGCCGATTAGCAAATCTGGCTTAGATGAAGAGAGCAGATTATCAGCTTCATTTATATGAAACAAGCGGGATGATCGATACAGAGCTGTCACACACTAGAGTTCAGCAAAGTAAGACTTTCTTATATCCTAACCTTGTCCTACCTTAAGAATTTTAGGTTCGGACTTATATCAACATGAAATTTTCTTCATTATGCAGAGCTCTCTCATGCATCTAGTATCAAGGATTTTTGTTCTTCTGATTTTTGTTTATTGGCACCAATGTTTATAAAATCAATAAGATTCTATAAGCTTTTCTTCTCCGTTTGAAGTATTTTCTGCAGAAAATTGCCAAAAAAAGTCTCTAAAATCCTCTTGATCTTACAAAGATTAGTATTAACCAACAAAGACAAGACAAAGAAAACATTTTTGTGACAGCTACATTAGAGTACGTAAGATACCTTTGCAATTTTTTCAATGAAAATTCTCATTGAAACTTTCAGAATAGAATGAATAACAAACCATGTATTGATAATGTAAATATGATTCGAAACGACAATAATGTGTAGAAGTAATAGAAAAAAAATTCTTTGTTCATTTTATTTTCTAACAAGAAAATATACAAGAATACTCTGATTTCAATTATAATTGTATTCACAATGAAATCTATTTAATAAATATTCTTTTCTTCTAGGGTCCATTTCCATATGAAGGTGAAGAAGATCCCGATTTAATCAATGCTGGCAAAGAAACTGTTACTATTCTTCCTGGAGCATCATTTTTCGCTAGTGATGATTCATTTGCTATGATTCGTGGTGGTCATATTGATTTAACCATGCTTGGTGCTATGCAAGTATCACATTATGGTGATTTAGCTAATTGGATGATTCCAGGCAAATTAGTTAAAGGTATGGGTGGAGCAATGGACTTAGTTGGCAGTGGTCGAACTAAAGTTGTTGTTACAATGGAACATAATGCTAAAGTAAGAGATACAAAAATTTATTTTCAATATTCGTTTGTTAATATAGGATGGTTCAGCAAAAATTCTTGAATCATGTACACTACCATTAACAGGCAAAGGTGTTGTGGATCTAATTATAACAGAAAAATGTGTTTTTGAAGTTGATCCAGAAAAAGGTTTAACATTAATAGAAATTGCTGAAGGTTATACAACAGATGATATTGTGCAATGTACTGGTTGTCCAATTAATGTAAATATGAATAGCATTTAAAATTTAATTTTATATGAAAATTTCAATGTTTTTATTTTTTTTCAGATTTCGGACCAACTCAAACCGATGCAACAAGTGCAAATTAATCGTCATAAATGATTATTTTTATTGAACTAAACTAATATAGGATGAACAGTTTTGATGCTTTTCCACTATTTTGTACCAGATTATTAGTTTTATCAAAAAATAAAGAACGATAGAAGGTCTGAGTTACAGAAGATTTTTCTTTACTACTTCATAAATCAAACAAAGTGGAGAACGAAATATTTGGTTCAGCAAAAGCGATGAACTGACCAGTAGATTACATATTAGGTCGGCTAATAAATACTGTCGGATTTTTGTTCCAGAGTTTTGTTCATAAAACAAACAAATAGAACAGTTGCACAATTTACAAATTAGCTTCAACGTATAATATATAAAAATAATCAGCAAGACATGAGCTTTCAAGCAAGTATAAGGTCAATTAAAGAAGACGTTTATTAAACAGCTTTATTAAGAAAGAAAAAATCCGACATTATTTATTAGCCGACCTAATTATTATAGAATCAGTAAATGACTGAAATGATCAGTTAGTGATGAAATAGTTTTGTTAATAAATTTAAAGATAAGTCAATTACATCAAAAGGTAAGCATCGAAATTAAAATGCGTTATAGTATGATTCACTTTGTCTTTCGTTGTTTCCTGATACCATGTAGTGCACATCCTATGCACAACATACCGAGTGGAAAAAAAAAATGAACGTAGCACAAGTTGCTCAATAGGAAAGTGTTGTATCAAATGAAGAGGTTGTAGAAGAAAATTAGGAAAGGACTGAAAATAAAAGATCTTGCCAAACAAAGAAATCAAAATATTGGGCTAACAAGGCTACATTTAATAATGTTGATGGAGCGGATGCATTACACGAACTATATTGAAAATAGAAGAACAGATTATTACATATGCAATAAAGCCAAGCGTAGTGAATTTTATGGAAATCTTCCCTTCCGGAGTTTCTGAAGAACGATCCCTCAGAATATTTGAAACTTTCAGGGTAGATAGATCTCAATGAGTAGAGCAAAAGTTGTCATAGACCCCAAATTCTCAAATACTTTCTTCTGGGCAATATCTAGATCGCAAAGGCTAAAACTCCGTCCGCTTTCTTAACCACAACATGTCTGATAGAGTTGCAATTTCTTTTTACAGAGACTAGACCCTGTTTGACGTACCTACTTTTTTAAGTTTATTTTTATCTTCTTCCATTCGAATAAAAAGATCAAAAGACTAAACGTACCTCCACAAATCAACAGTGCAAAATTTTTCAAAACTAGGGTATGGGTATGAATGTCGCGTGTGACCATGCCTATAGCTGTGGATCGGGTGTAGATATAGATATGTGGTGTAGTTATGAGTGCATTAGCATGGTTGAAGAGAAGACCCACAGCCATACCTCACCTGTACACGCACACTCACACACGCTTTACTTCTCGATGATGTTGTAGCACCATTATATCATAAAGCGAAATATAAAGATGTAGAAAGCGATTTTGTTAACCGTTTCAAAAATATAGGAATTGATATAAGAACTACACCCGGTGAGGGAAGGGATTTGTATCCTAAATCGTTTGAAGAAAATAAGAAAAATTTATCACGCTCTTCGAATTCTTTTTAAGAAAATATCCATTCGTCTTATTCAACCACAAAGGACATCGTTTCAACAAAGACTGGTTGAATATGTCCATTGCTCAGGACTACGCATAATATATAACTTCGTTTTGTGGGGTGATCTTAAAGTTTATATATTAACAAAAAGATGTGCAATAAATGATTATTTGTATAAATACTACGAGGGATGTCATGATATCTGGAAGTCGGGTATCAAGAGTCTAACACATCGATATATTCATGAAAACTGACGATTTTGAGTGAATTTGGTGTAACGAGATGGATACCCAAGAAAAAATGAACACCCTATCTCTAAAAAGTGAGGGTGTGGGCGTATGAAATTCACAGTAACATCCGCACACCTATACCCTACTCACACCCTCCAATCTAAAGTTTCGCTTAATATATTTCTCAACAAATTTTTCTTATTACAGTGTTGAAGTTAGGAAGTATTGTCTGCAACAAAAAATACGTAATATTCTATTTTATTGCTTCCATATAGATCGAAAAACTTCATGAGAATTTTTGCTATGGACATAAGATTTATCACATATTAAACTGATGATAGTGGTCAGTCGATCCGACTGCCGGAAAACGTTTGAGCAGAGTGTAAAATATACATCATAAGAAGTTATTAGAAAATCGCGACACTGAATAAAAATCAAGAAGAAATCGTCTTTTTGGACGATTTCATCGCCATATTATTTCACACTTAGTCGGACTAATAAATCACTGTAACATGATTGAGTTTTAGGCGATCATCACTACATGAGAAAGTTTACAGTTACTAAGTTATTTTTATGCTTAATTGTTTTTTCATAAATTAATCAAACTCGAAAGTAGTTATTGAGCTCATCATTGGCTGTACTCTTTTCATATATGACTAATAAGTTTAAAAAAAACTGATGTAATACAGTGTAACTGGATTAAATATTCAACTTCTTATCAAACATAAAAGTTGTACATAAAATTGATCAAAATATTCCTATCATGCGCCAGATTTTTCAAGCAAAGTTCGTTTTAATGTTTAACAAAGTGTATTTTCACTTTCAAAATAATTCACTGACGATCACTATAAATTGTCGTGAGGAAGCATTTTATAATAAGCGCCACGTCGTTGTGTCAACTCTGTATGAGTGCCACTTTCCACAATATGTCCTCTTTCAAGTACACAAATCAAATCACATGAACGAATAGTTGAAAGACGATGAGCAACAATCAATGATGTTCGACTAGGATCTTCTCTTTCAGCTTGTTCAAGAGCTTCTTGTACGATCTAAAATTGAAAAATGAACATGAATCTTTAATTGATGAAAAGAAAAACAATTAAATTTACTTGCTCATTGTGTGAATCCATGGCACTTGTAGCTTCATCTAAGAGCAATACTTTAGGTTGACGAAGAAGAACTCGAGCAATAGCAATACGTTGTTTCTCACCACCTGACAGAAAACTACCTTTCAATCCTACTTTTGTTTCATAACTCTAAAAGAATTTATTTTGCAATAGGAATTGATACATAATATAATTTTCTATCGCTTAACCTGAGGTAACTGCTCAATAAATTGATGAATATTAGCTCTTTTTGCTGCATTGATAATGTCTTCCATTGAAACATTCTCTAATCCATATGCTATATTTTCAGCAATTGTTAAATCAAATAAAACTGGCTCTTGACTAACAAGACCAAAATGAGAACGAACCCATTGAAGATTTAGTTTTCGAATATCAATACCATCAATAAGCTAAATTGAATGAACAAATTTTATATAACTAAATAGTTAAACTATAGATTAAAGAAATACTAACTATTTTACCACTTGTAACATCATAGAATCGTTCCAATAGTTGAATAATTGTTGATTTTCCACATCCAGATCCACCTATACTGATCATATTACGTCATTAATATTCAAAAGAATAAACATCTAATTGAAACATACCAACTAGAGCTACATGTTGACCTTATTAGTGAATAAAAATGTAAAACAAATGATTAAATTGAAACTTATCACACTTACTTGGGTTGATATTCAATTGAAATTTATCAAGAATTATAGCTGTTGGTCGAGTTGGATAGATAAATTTGACTTGATCAAATTTGATCTCTCCACGAAAATCAACCTATGAGAATGATATTATATCAATGACATGTGAATGTTTAAAAGAAAATAGTTATTTTCTATGTTCTATTACTAATTCTTGTCCTTCAGTAGATGTATTATCAATAGCTGGTTTTCGATCAAATAAATCAAAAAATGCTTCAGCAGCTGAAACTGATGCAACAACACGGATAGATCTAGCATAGAGGCATTATAAGAAGAAAAAAACAATCAAAATAGATATAGAGAGTGTTACGTCAGTCCGAGGACTTTTAGTGCTTGTGTTGTAAAAACAATCACCGCAAACATCCTAATAAATTAAAAACATCACGAAACACTATCTCGAAATGATCAAACTGTGGCTTATATTACGTCATAATGCGGTTTGAGGTGAGTTCATTCTTTTCCATAAGGATGAGAGCACGCCAATACAGAAATGCTATAGCAAATCCATCTAGTGTCCAAAATATGCTAGATGTCATTGAAGATAGTAATAGAGGTTTCCAAGATGATCTATGACAAAACAAGAATGATTAAAAATTTATACATGCATAAGATTCAATTGGCTAACATAAATAGTTTATGAATAAGTTCAGAATATTGTCGTAATACTTCCTTTTCTATTGATATTTGTTTTATTGTACGCATATTGTGAAGAACTTCAGCAGCAAACTGAAGAAATAGAAAATAGAATAAATATAGTGTATTTGATTTATTAAACAATTCATAATAAAATAATCTTTCTCAACAAATAAAAGATTATTAACTAAAAACTGATCTTACTGCGCTTGCTCGTGTGATTATTTGATCAGATTGTTGATTCTGCCATAGACGTAAGCATACTTCGCCATACGCGACTAAGCATAGGATAAACAAAGAACCAAAAATAATCAATGTCAGTTGGCCACTTATGAAACATCCAAAGATAATTCCAAAAAATGATAGAGCAAGAACTTCACAGATGACTCCTAATCGTGTACCAGTCATCTCTTGAACAGCTGATGCATCAGAAGAAAGGCGAGTACAAATTGCACCAGAACTATTTTCAGGTCGATCAAAATAAGCAACTTCTTGACGAAGAAGACATGCAAAAGCTTTCGAACGAATACGTTCTGTCAATTTTGATCCTGATATGGCAAAAGCAGTATACTATAGAAAAGAGTAAATAAATTATTGATCGAATTCAAAAATAGCATATTTACCTGGAAGAAACGAAGAATAAATAAACCAACACCCAAAAGTAAAAAAAGAAAACTAGTAAGCAATATGTGATGACGTCGTTCCGAGACTGAACAATATTTGAAAGCCTACGCAATGAAAAAATTAACAAAAAAATAATAAATATGGTCAATCCTTTTCTACAGTATTTATATGGATGCATTGCTCACTTCAACTATTTTGACAAGTAAACATGCAAATAGTGGTTGAGCTGCTCCATTAAGTATACATGCTATACAACCAATTAAGATCGTAATCCATTCAGGACTATTCATTGACAAAAGCCTTAAAAAGACAAATCTTTGTCTAAATGATTTTGAACTTTGCTAAAAGAGATATTATCAATAATAGTTTTTATAAATAACTCTAGTGTCATATCTGTACTTTGTTGAAATCAAGAATTTGACCATCACTTATTAAACGAGATCGCTCAACTGTTCAAGAAAAACAAAACAAAGAAATATGAAGATTATTAGTATAGGAATATTAACATACGTATTGACTTTTCATCTTCTTCTGTTGCTTTTTGTATGCTCATCATATCATCTTGATCATCATAGATTCCTTCGATTTGTTGACGTTTGACCATTGCTTGATATTTGCCTCCTTCTTTTGCCATCAATGTTTCATGTGTACCTTCTTCAATTACACTTCCTTTATCTAATACATATATTTGATGAGCATTTTGAATTGTAGTCAAACGATGAGCAATTACAATAGTTGTACGACCTATATAAAATGTTATATCAATACCATAAGCAAAAAAAACAATTGTTACCATGGCATACTCGATCAAGTGCTTCTTGAACAATTTTTTCGCTAACATTATCAAGTGCACTTGTTGCTTCATCCAGTAAAAGAAATGTAGGGTGTTTAATAAGAGCACGAGCTAATGCAATACGTTGTTTTTCACCACCACTCAACTGTATACCACGTTCACCAACAAGTGTTTTATATTTCTAAACAAGAAATTATGATACATATATACATATATATATAGATAAAGATAAAAATGAATATTTGTCCCAAACATCTGGTAATTGCATGATGAAATGATGTGCATTAGCTTCTCGTGCTGCTTGTTCAATTTCTTCTTGTGTTGCATTTAGTTTACCAAAACGAATATTTTCATAAATATTCATATCAAATAAAATCTATTAGAATAGTAAATTAAATAGAAAAAAGAAAAAAGAAAGTGAAGCTTACGGGTTCTTGACTAACAACTCCAATGTTTTCTCGAAGTTGTTTGACATTGTAGTCTGTTATTGGTCGACCATCGATCGTTATTTGACCCGATGAAGGTTCATAATAACGAAGAAACAATGTCATACATGTACTTTTTCCTATAAATAATTAATCAACAGAAATGAGATCATTTGAACATTTGTATTTTTTTCTTGGAAAAGACTTACCACAACCACTTAAACCTACAAGAGCAGTTGTCTGACCAGCACGAGCAATAAGAGAGAGATTATGCAGAACTGGTGCTTCTTTTCGAGATGGATAAATAAAGTCGACATTGTCAAATTGAATATCACCATTGATATTATAAATTGATTTTGTATCATCTTTCCATACATCTGCTTCATTGATACTTGGATCATTTCTCTATATCATTTAAACAAATAGAAAACATTACCATCGATATTAAATCTCAATTTACTTGGATTTACCTCATCAATAAGTCGAAAGACCGCTGCTGCTGCACCTTGAGCTTCTGAAATTGATTGAAAAAAAGGACCAATGAAACTGAAGAAACACAAGCAATCTGCAAAGAGGAAGACGACCTATATTAAGATAGTAGTCTTTTATTCATATACATAATAATTGATTATATGAATTACTTACAACAAGAATATCACTAATATCCAAACTGTGATGAGTTCTGTCCGACATGAAAAGAGAACCAAAGATAAAACCAACTGAATAAGCTAGGTAGAATATCAGAGATAGCCATCCAGTAAAAACCCCAAACATTGCACCTTGTCGTATATTACTCCAACGGGTAGAATGCAATTCTCTTTTATATCTAAATACAATCCATAAAACAACATATTTTATGATATCCAATCGGTAAATTATTTGTATATATTTGTTTACCGTTTCTGCTCAAATTTGCTACCATTGAGTGAAAGAACAGTTCTCAGTGAACTAAACACTTCTTGAACGATTTGTCCTGCTTTCGAGTATGTCATTAACTCATTCATTGTTTCTTTAGCAGAGACCTAATGACATTTCATAGAGATTTAATTGATTGAAGAACATTTCATACTTTAGAAAACACAAAGGAACTACCAACGGCTAAAGGTACCAAACATGACATGACCAAAGTCAGCTGCCAGTTGACAACGAAAGATACTATCAAACAACAAATGAGGCTGAGTAACGTTACCATCAATGTTAACAGTTCGAAACCAATGCTTTTATCGATCTTTGCAATGTTACTATACAAAAATTGAATGAGGTATAGTTATTTGATACACAACATCACAATGGCTTACTCAAATAGTTTAGCATGGAGGTGATTGATTGGTTTGGAATCCACATAAGGAATATTCTAAAACCAGAGAGAGAGAAACAGTCAGAGATGACCAGATTCGACTGAATGTCACTCTAATTGTACTCTTATTGCCAAAATTTGGCTTCGTCTATATTTTCTAAATTCCAATCCAACTTCAAGTTTATGTTTTTAAAAATCCTACTGCAACTCTGACTATAAATATTCATGTTCTACACTGAAAAAAAAATATCGCATACGTAACTTTAAAAAAGGTTGCGAATTTTGCTACGAAAACGAAACTTATTTTAAGTTTCGTATAAAAACATTTTCGCTTGGTTTCAAAAAAAAGATTTTGTAGTCAAAATTTCATACGAATGCTAATATAATTCCACTAAGCCTATAGCAATCCATTCATCTATACCTGTACCACTAAATGTATACCAGACATTGACCAGAACGACTGTTTCTCTCCTATTCTGCTGCCTTTCTCAGTCCTGACCGGCAGTAGGACAGGACACCAAGACAGCAGGATCGTTGTGTCCTGTGCCCATCTTTAATCTATACCTATCTCAATCAATATACGCCTTTTCCGCTAAATCTAATTGCCTATCTTTAATCCCTTAATATATATCCCTCAATGTATCTCTGTAAATCTAAATCTGTCTCCTTGATCGAACCTCTTTATCTATCCTCTTAATGCATATCTATCTTCTTTATTTATCCCTTAATCTATATCTTGAATCTAACTTTTCAATCTATCTCTCGAAATCTATATTGATCTGCTCAATCTAATTTTTTAATATAATTATTGAATGTATACCCCTATTCTATCCTGTCAGCCTGTCCCTTTAAATCTGTCTCTATCAATCTATATCTATACCTATATACTTGTATCTATAATGAGACCCATTTGAAAGAAGTGAACCATTAACATTAATTTTTATATTAAACATTGACTAATCATTTTATCATGAATATTAATAAAAAATGGGCGAGTGACATCACATTATTCATTATTATTAACGGTCAACAGATCACCTAACCATTAATGATAAGTTCCACTTTTTTCTGTTAATATATATAATTTACTTAAAACTCAGTGAATCAGTGATTTATATGAGAGTTATACTATTCCAATCAATTTTTCTCACGAGGGAACATTCCCAAGTGATCCATTCCGTTTACCTTCATATTATGCCCATATGTAGGGGACCATTAGCTTAGAATAAGCTCCAAATGGTTTGTGCTCTTATTGAGATTTGGCCGAGATATCGAATTTTTAGTTGATCTTTCCTACAGGAGGTTAGTTTTGGAGCAAAATCATATCTTCGAATTTCGACCGGAAACTTTGTCAACATGGAAGGCTTACTAAGACTAGCTCATGCATAAATTTTCATCATTTTTAGAAATTGTATCTCTGAAATGTGAGTCTTCCAAAATATCCATGTTTTACACTATATCTATACAAAAGTGCCTGTCTTTTTTGAAAAACTTAATATTTCAAAGATGCAATTTCTAAAAATGATGAAACTTTATGCATGAGCTGGTCTTAGCAAGCCCTCCATGTTGACAAAGTTTCAGGTCAAAATTCGAAGATATAATTTTGCTCCAAAACTAACCTCCTGCAGGAAAAATCAACTAAAAATTCGATATCTCGACCAAATCTCAGTAAGAGCACAAACTCTTTGGAGATTATTATAATCTAATGGTTCTCTACATATAGGCATCATATGAAGGCAAACGGACCGGATCACTTCGGAATGTTTCCTCGTCAGTCAGGTAGGCGTATTGACTAACAGTATAAAAATCTCAGGTTATAAGGTCTGACAAAATGCGACTCATGAGTTTCGAAAAATCGTATAGAGATTCGGGTTCCTTGACTTTGAAGACTGTTAATCAAATTTTATTTGAAAAAGATCGTTATTTCCAGAAAATAGACCTCTCTGACCAAGAAAAACTAAATGGAATGGTATTACCTTCATTCTAGCCACTTATCCTCTTAGTTTTAAGTAAGTTATGTACTAAGTCCCTCCCCTCCACTCAGAAAACTCGATTTTCATAAAAAAAAATGATTTTTGAGATAAACATATAAACATGTTGCCAGAGTTACCTAGTGCACGAATTGATAAAAATAGTTTTGACTTTCGAAGGTTCTGAGGGAGATTATGAATAATCTTTGAAAGTATTTCGACAAATAATGATATCTAGAGCAATTAGTAAAATTTTTTGTACAGATAGGTGTCCAAAATAAACAAATATTTTTTGAAAGTAATCGGATATTGTGTACCTTAGAAATATACTTTATGAGATCTATAATGACATGAGGATTTCTGCGTGAATCTTTTCTTCATCCACATCCACATCCTTGAGACTTGACAAAACTATTGAATTGTTGATATATCTATTTCCCAGATATTTCTATAAGACCACAGAGTTTTCCAAAAATCGTACCTTTGAATTTTGTGAGTGTGGGTGTAGGTCTTCTCTAAATTTATATGTGAAGTGATGGAAAAAAGTTTAGAAACAATGATTTTTTTAGTTTTTTTATAATGCTAAGCACGTAGCTTCAATCCAAATAGTGGTTTTAATAACCAATGAAGTTTTCTATCCAATACACTTTATAGCAAGATTTCACAGATGGACAATGACGATAAGGCTCCTAAAAAACTGAACACGATATTTTTCAGGTCCTAGAAGACTTTGTCAGAGCTATTTTTGAACGGTACCACCTTAAAGAGCACAAAATTCTGAGCAAAATGAGGGATCGCCGAGTTTTCTATGACCTTCTCATAAAAAGTTACAAGCATCACAAAAATTATGAAAAACCGAAATTTTTAAAAACAGACTAAAAACGCCTTTTTCATGATTTTTGTGATGCTTGTAACTTTTTAAGAGAAAGTCATAGAAAACTAGGCGATCCCTCATTTTGCTCAGAATTTTGTACTCTTTAAGGTGGCACCGTTCAAAAATAGCTCTGACAAAGTCTTCTAGGACCTGAAAAATATTGTATTCAGTTTTTTAGGAGCTTTATCATCATTGTCAATCTGTGAAATCTTGCTATAAAGTGTATTGGATAGAAAACTTCATTGGCTATTAAAACCACTATTTGGATTGGAGCTACGTGCTTAGCATTATAAAAAAACCAAAACAATCATTGTTTCTAAACTTTTTTCCATTACTTTACATCTACCCTTGCACTGTTGCCTTGGACCTTATCTTTAGATCTAGAGGTCCTAGAAAAATAGGCATCTCATGGCATATATAGCTTTTCTTTGTGAAATACGATCTGAAAGGAGTGTTGAAGCGTATAGGGTAGAAATTTTGGACCAAAGCTCCCTCTCTCCTCCCACCCACAGACCGTAACGGAGAAATTCCATACCCATCACTGACCGTGACAGAGACCCTTCGGACCCATTACAGACCGTGACAGAGAACCCCTGAAGGCCATCACAGACTATGACAGAGGACCCAGGAAACCATCACAGACCGTGACAGAGGACCCTAGAAAGCATCGCAGATCGTGACAGAGGACCCTAGAAACCATCACAGACCGTGACAGGGGACCACCAGAAACCATGACAGATCTCAACAGAGAACCCCAGAGATCATCACAGACCGTGATAGAGAATCCCCGAAGACCATCACAGACCGTGATAGAGAATCCCCGAAGACCATCACAGACCGTAACAGAAAAACTCGAGGAACCATCACAGACCGTGACATAAAACTCTTAGAGACCATCATAAGCTATGACAGAGAACCCCAGAGGCCATCACAGACCATGACAGAGAACCCCTAGAGACCATCACAGACCGTGACAGAGAAACTGTAGTTGCGAAGCATCAAATAAATGGTACGCTACAAATCTATCTTGAAGAAATGGAACAAAATGATATCCATTTAATTAGTAACAATAGGTCCATCGTGTTTCACCTTTTAAAGCCTGCAAGGGATTGCGCTAACAGCTTTTCTAGATACTTTAGCTTATCTCGTAGGTTTGCTGGAATTGATAATTTATCGATGATGAAAATTTCTTAAAAAGAAAGAACATAGAATGTTATAAATTTAAAGAAACGCTAAGGCAAGACTGAAATTAAATTTTGGAGTTCGTTTTTGTAAATGAAAGTGTATTTGACTTACACGTTGAACAAGTGATCGAAAGAGGGAAACATTCATACGATATATCTGTCGTTTTACACTAATGATCCAAATGAAATTTTTAATAGAGTTGGCTAGATATTCGGCGATACTGGTAACTACATAGACAAGAAAGAAAAGACAATATCTATTATATTTTATAATCAGATTACTACGCTTATATAACTTACTGAATAACCAGCCAACTATGTTCATAACTTGTTCTCGAAATGAAGACATCGATGTAGGTAAAGTTGATGATAAAATTAGAGGACTACTATGGTACAGTCTACAGTGAACAATTACCAAAAAAAATAGAAGAACTCCATAGTAACTAACAATAGTTTTTAGTTACTTACTTATGTAACAGAGCATTGTTAAATATATTGAGATCAATACCTAGAGAATATCTATTATTGATCTTTATTGGAGCTGTAAAATTTTGTTGTTCATGATCACAATCATCACCAAATGATTTAATAGCAAATAATCCTGTGAGTCGAGCGACGAGAATTTGATTAGCTATAATGCAAGTCATCTGCAGTAACATCAAACTCATAGCAATAAACATCAGAAGCATATCGATATGGTTTGCAAATTGAAACTACAATAAAATGAAATACATCAATCAGTTTGGATTTCTTCTGAACACACTTACTAAACGAAAAACACCAACTGGTTCATCTTTGTCATTATGTTCAGTATCATCATCTAGTTTTATGTATTTATTCTCGCTCTCTTTTCTATTGAAACATCGGTGCCAATCAGAAAAACTATAAACAATGATAAATTCATTGTATTTTTCTCGAAGCTAGTTACTTGTTGGATCATACCTATTTATCAAAAGTTGTTTCTTACTTCCATTATTAGTATCATCATCATCAGTAAATAATTTACTGGAGGGGTTTAAGAGAGGTTGTTTATCATTCATTTGTTTTTTTTTCAACGAGACTACGATCAGAAATAACGAAGAGAAGCATGTAGAAATAAACATGCAAAAGGTAGTTCATCATGGTTATGTTAACTATTCATGCGTTTCTTTTTTCTTTTTCTTTGCTGGCCTTCTTATTTAAAAGACATGTGCAGTAAATCCATCATCCAATCATGATAGAACATAATTGCAATAGCTTCGCATCATTAGTTTATAGGTATGTAGATAAAGCATGTGTTTCGTTCTTGTCTGATGTACATAAATAAATAAAATGCAAATAGAGAAAAACGAAGTAAACTTGCTAAGAAATAGAAATTGAAGGACGATAGTCATTAATATGATGTATCTTGTTAGTTTAGTCATTTCAATTTCGACATTTTCTTGCGTTCTGTCGTCACAATTATCTGCATTTGAAATCTAGCATCATTATTGATAATCATAAGGAACGATTTTTCTCGAAAGGCATCGTATGATATCCGTCATGTAAGAAGATGACAGAACGCTAAATATTTCTTTTGCGTTCTGTATGTCATCTCGTAGATGACATGCGGAATTAAAGGAGTTATGGTGTGGGTGGGTGGTGTGAATGTGGGGCGAGCGTGCAGTTGTGGACCATCTTTTTTTGAAATCCACACCCTTATTGTAGAAAATTACCTAAATGGACTATTTTTTTTGGTTTTTATCAACTATTGCGATGAATCCATAGTTTTTTAAAAATTAATGTATGACTCAATCTAATTAACTTTCACTAAATAATTCTTGGGCAACTATGATTATAGTAGACTATTTATTGTATACGACGTTGTTTATTCTCGTATTCACATAAGCATTTCATAAGAGAAATGATAAATACATTAAAGTCTACTCCCCTCTCCTGTCTTATAAAGAGAAGAATATAACCGTGTTTGCAATGACACTGAATGATAAACTAGTTGCTATAGTTAATCGAAATAAAAATAATAATACAAGTAGTTTTGTAAACTAATATTTCCAGAGTCATTGTCCTTGAAATTGAAACATCACTATCTACTTCTATTATTCGAACGTTTACCAATAGATTTTGATGAATCAATGATTTTTTTGCTCAAATCACGGTCATCTATCGGATTTTTCGAATATGACGATTAATCAACAATATGGATGACATTTGTTATTTTCTAATTCAGATATGTGTTATAACACACTCTAAAATAAGATGTATCGCAACGAGCACCTCGTGCCGTATTTCTTGCGTTCTTCGCTATATATATCTAGCGAAGAACGCAAGAAATACGACACGAGGTGCTCGTTGCGACACATGTGACACATTTTATTTTAGTGTACATTTGAAATGATATATTAAAACATTCTATCTTTGTATTAAATACTTATTTATATCGTAAATATCTACTTTTGTACTATTTGATATATATCGAAGTAAATTGGTTCGAACCATTATCTATATATTTTAAACCAAATATATGATTCTAACACATTTGACAATTACTAGCTTAAAAACTGTACGAGGATTGTGTGACAGTTAAGCGATAGCCTAGTCTTGGAAAAAACCGATGTATAATTTATTGTTATTTATTTCATTATTGTATTTTGAGATTGAATTTATGTGTTTTTGCATGAGATGCCTAATTCGAGTTCGAATATAAATGGAGCTTCAAGTGCTTGATATCACTTCGAATATAAAAAAAAGGCACCCATATAACTACGGCCAAAAAAGTAAAAGATAAATTTTTATTCGAATTCGAATTTATAATTCGAATAAGGCATCCATATAATTACGGCCAAAAAAGTAAAAGATAAATTTTTATTCGAATTCGAATTTATAATTCGAATAAGGCACCC